ATTCATTCGAGAATATCTTACCCACTGGTATTCAAAACTGTTGCATCCTCGCTAGCTCATCAGCTGACCATTGGAAAATTCTTTGTGTCCAAAGACAGGTAGAAATACAGGTTCAGACAAGTACAAAATTTGAGGATAAAACAGTGTCGTATAGAACAAGCATTAGAAAGAAACGCTCTCAGTATTTTCTACTTTTCTCGTGTACGTTCAGGATCTCGCGGTTGGTGTTTTTTAAAAGATGCGCCACGAAATATTCTACAAAACCATACCTAAACTTTAATTTTAGAACTTTAATCAAGGAAACTACGTAAATTATACGAAAGGCGAAAAAAATGAAAACTTTGTATAGTTGGTATTTTTTCGTCTTGACTTTTTTCTTCAGCAATTATTCAAGAGTGTAGCAAAAAGTGAGAACTCAGTTCTTTTTGTACTTCTGAACATACTGTTTCCTCTGGCCTGTGAAAAATGTTTTTTAGAGCAGATGGTGGGCTGGAGAACTAAGTTTCAAAAGAAATGGAAAACCTGATCGATGTTTTGATTTCAGAATTAGTAATAGAAAAGCAATCATTCCTGATCAAAACAAAACAAACCCAATCGAAAAAGCGTTTGTTTTGTTGAAGTTACGGGACTTTTGCTCAAAGCACTGCTACACCCAGAATTTAATGACGCAACTCGATAGAAACTTCCATAGTTCTACAGCCAATAATCGTCATACAGAGTATCAGTCGTACACATCAATTCCATTTTAGATGAACATTAATTGGGTATATAATAAATTTTTATATCATTTGTACTTTCAGCTCTACCCTCCTGGAAAAATATTATTTCCAACCGTGTAGTATGAGCAAAAAAGATCTCTGTCTGAATTAGGAAAGCCACATGTCCACCTGGTCTATAGAAAAATGCTCAGTGTGCACTGTTCATCAAACATGCAAAAACTTGAAGGTGACACCAGCAACTTCATATCTTCACAGAATGGATCCTTTCGGTCTGCAGATCATATTCTTATAAGAAAGAGCTCTCAAAATCAGGCGCTATCAAGGTCGATTCATCGACCTAATTTCACACGACATTGAGTTTCTAGAACATCTCGAACTTATATATTCTCCTCAAAGCATAATTCTACTATAGGTACCTTATCGAGAATGTCAAGTTACATATGTTCAGAAACTTTTTCGACTATCAGACGCGTTTTGAATGCCATTAACGTTTTTAAAAAATTCGCAGCTTTTCAGGTGAAGCAATGATCAATCAAAAATGAGGATTTTGTAACTCGATAAATCGTGATACGAGAATCCTGAAATGTTTATGACATATACAGTTCTGTGCGTTCTACAAGGCGAAAGTGTCAAAATCACTATTTGAAAAATCCGGAGCTCAGGGGTTTCTAGAAAAGCCTTAGTTTTCCAGAAACCTTAAATGGAGATAAACGATAATCATATTCGTAATTAGCACCCTCAAATACATTCAGTACAATATCAGGCAAACCGCAAGAGGACATCTGGCAACATGCACTCGTAAGATGCCTTTGTCCAAATGGTGATTTTTTGAGCAGAAAATCGATTCTACAAATTCGAAAAGCTTTTTCGTCAAAACTAATTCTCACAACTGCAGAACGTACAATACTTATGTATCTGCAACCTGCACAGTTCAAAAATAGTTCTGGAGCAGAAAAGCTTTTGGCGTTGGAAATCAATTTCAACAGATCGTTACAAAGCTCGCCTGGAAGATAAAGCGAGTTCGGGTTCAAAATCAACTTCCTCAATAACCTCTGAAATTAACACACTCAAGCCAAAAATAGTTTGCAACACCTTTTAGATAATCCAGACATCAATTCAACTAACCAGTATTTTTCATTCGTGAAGTTCTCCACAAGTCGATCAGTGGATGTAATCCATAGGAAAAAGCATTCAGCGGTGGTGGCAGAACCGATTTGTTGCTGTATTCTTTGACCAGCAGAAATCGATGGTAGGCCCATGATTGATGAGCATCGCGATCGACTTTTGAAATCGTAACACTTTAACAAACCAGAAAAATAGCGTACAATTTCAAGGATGATGCAGAGACAGACTTTACTTGAATAAGGCTACCAGAACGTTGAGAAGTAGTACATTTCCAATGCAAACAAAAATAATTGTAAGGATAAACGCCATCACACCATAGGCGTCGTTTATAGCTATAAAAGATCACCCGGAATTCATATAACAACCGTTATTTTGGAGCGCTATAAATGAATGCTTACCACCCTTAAGTACTGTGCCGTCGGCTTCGACTACTCCTACAAGATTCACTTGACCAAATACTTTCCAGATACCCCAGTCCAGAACACTTCGTATAAGTCTCCACCGCCATAAATTATCACCATCGTTTGTAAGAGAATATTGTGTAGCATGACCGCCACTGGAATTCGAAATCCATTTAACTTGATCATCTGTTGTGATCAATGCGTACGACGAAATTGCATATCCAAAGATAAATATTAAAATAAAGTAGATGAAAAATACCAAATCTTTCATCTAGAAGGGCACAAGTTATTATAAAATACAGAGTTTGAATGTCATTCCGAGATACTTGCTTACCGTGTTAAATATCATCAACAATTTTGGTCCTAATCGTTGGTAGGCCGAAAACAAATGTAGCATTCTAACATACCATAGAAACACGTCGATAGCCATACATATTCTAGAAACAGTAGTAATCTTTAGATGGATGGTAACTGTCAAGGTTGGACGAGATCTCGACATGTTTCGTCCCAAAGTTCAGTGAGCCCAAAGTAAATGAGATATCTCAAGGATTGTACTACTTGTAACAAACATGCTAGGTGAAAGGAGAATGGAACGATCGAAACAACAAGCATTCTGGGACAACAATAGCCATGATAAAAGAGAGGACTGGGCGATACAATAGGCCTTCTATGACAACCATGAGGGAAGAGAGTGTTACTTAGGGTTTAGAAGTCATGGACTAGGGACTTTAATCCTAACAGTAACTTAGCCGTTTTCACCTACTTCGATACGATAAATGCTTGTTCAATAACAATAAACCTGGTTATAAAACCGACTATATAGATCAGTATTGCAGCAATATCCAAAACATTCCATTTGACATTTTTAAAATAACTTCGAATACGATGATGACTCTGATATTTGGATTGTTCGCGACAATGATTATAAAACTATAATATACATATAGCAGAAATATTGACGGAATCTTATTAAAACCTGTACCTCTGAAATCTCTTCTAAGATTAAACTCCATATTGAGACGTGCACAAGTACTTCTGTAATCGGAACGTAAAGGTCCGAATAACCGTCGCGTTTACCACCGTAAATATTTAATGGAAAATAGTTGACAAGTAAAACAAAACTGAATAAACCCAAAAATATTATATAAAATAACTAAACCGTAAAGAATGGAAGTGACCATTATACCTTGTGTCATAACACAAACACATCGCAAACTTACAATATTATAATAGAATCGAACTATAGCTCGCCCTGTGTAAAAATGTTTATACCGATAAACAACTGTCTGAAACCAATTGTACTTTTTCTCATTTTCTAACGATCTAAAGTAAAATGAGTACGGTAAAAGTTTCGGTGCACAGTCTTGATACAGGTTTCTATATACCTTGTTTTGTCCTTTCTTTCTGACGTCAAAATTCTCGAAAATTTTTCAACAGGAATAAAAACGAAAAAGATGCTTAGGAACAGAATCTACAATAGAAATCCTAGTTTTCTTTCGTGTTATTCACAAGAGCACACCCACATACAAGCCAACTAATTTTCGTTTGGTCGTGTCCATGATCATCAGTCTCACCATACCAAATCATGTCCAAGTGCTTTTGGGCAGTTTTTGTAGCCAAAAAGGCACGACAATGATTCTGTTCAGCTAGTTCTAATGGGCTATAGTCAAAGAACAACTTCGATTTCGTCCTTAAGACATCCACAGCAAAATTTTCATCTTCTTCAAAACATTTATCGATAATCTGAGCTGCATGTTTATCAAATGTTCTAAACAGAAGTGAAGTTTGTCTACTGACACCACGTGCGATAACACATAACTTACTTTTCTTTTTCGTCAAATTCGCGCCGTTTTTCGTGCTCTGTTGTTAGAGTGGCTGCGTGTTTGTAGATTCTGCTAGCCATTAGTGCAGCAACAATCGTATTCTTAAAAAGCCACAAAAATGTCGACGTTATATGGAAACGATTACTTTTTTCGTGTACGTACCGAAGTTTTAGAACACAGACATGTAGCCATCGTATGTCGATTTGCAAATACAGACCATAAGAACAGATTTCGTATGAAATCTAGAATTTTTAATGATTTAATTAGCGTTTTCACCATACGGCATAACATGAACAAAAACATTTTTTTCTGAAAATGATCGCTTTAGATTCAGCACACGAAACTGTGGTTATGAAACAAATGTTGGGTTCCTGATACTTGAAAATTTCTGAGAAAATCGATTGAGAAAACTAGATACTTGAACTTTTCGTAAAACATCGCCATCTGCAGTAATTTGGAGTTTTCGAACTTGATTTTGGTTCGGTAAGCTCGAACATCATCTCATTCGAGAGAAACTGCGTATAAAATAGCTCACTTGGAATATCTAGAAAATTGAGTGCTAGTCCAAAAAAATGCTTTTCTGCAATCTTTCTAGTTTGTCAAAAGCCATATTCAGTACAGACGCCATTTCTGTGAATACTTCTCATTATGTTTATGTAAGTAGTGTGTGTGATGTTTTCATGTTTCCAACTACTTTTCGTTAATGATTGGAGCAGCTCGATAAATTTTAGAAAGATGTGTGCTCGAAGATAATGTAGTGTATGCTTTACAGATTCAGTTTTACCTTTGGGATATCCGGTAATTAACCGAAAGTTACTTGGAATAACTTTGAGAAACACCACATACAGCGCAGTTTTCTTCCTGCTGCTAAGCATGTATTTCGTTTTTCTTGGAAGTGAGTTTGTGGCGTGAAAATTTGACATGACTTTCTAATTTTTTTGCATATTTTGTCTCTATCAACAGCTCCTATTTCCGAAATTTCCTTAACTATCTTGTAGAGCTTTTAATTCCCCACAAATGCTGCATAATGAGAAGTATTCACAGAAATGGCGTCTGGACTGAATTTGGCTTTTGACAAACTAGAAAGATTGGAGAAAAGCATTTTTTTGGACTAGCACTCAACTTTCTAGATATTCCAAGTGAGCCATTTTATGCGTAGTTCCTCGCGAATGAGATGATGTTCGAGCTTACCGAACCAAAATCAAGTTCGAAAATTCCAAAATACTGCAGATGGC